CGAGGTAGACTCGGCTGCTCAGCGAAATCTTGCTCTTATCACCAAAATAAACCTCAGGCTACCCTTGGCATTAAAGTACGTTTCTACTGAAGTAAATCTATTAACAAATCTAGCCAGTGCCCAAATGTATTAGCAATTACAGTCCTTACTTCCAAAACGTGTGATAACTTGTGACTGTACATACGTGTACAGACACATATATATATTATTTCTCCCTAAACTCAATTACTCGTAGGTTTTTCCCCAAAGAAGGGATTGTATGTTTAAGCCCTTAGTTTTCCCTACCCCGAAAAAGCAGCCAGACAGCTGCTGCTGTTTCTAAAGATGACGTGAAAGTGCTGAAGAATTGCAAGGAAAGGCTCACTTCTCACATTCGCCTTCCGCAAGCTGAATGCTCTTCCAAAGTAAGAAGTGGTGGCTACACTCATGCTCCTGTAAAATACAATTTGAACATTTGTATGCTGGTCAATGGAGATGTGAAGTTTTTTCTTCTGAAATTCATGTGCTTCAGGCACCTTGGAAGCTCTCTCCTCTCTCCCCCATAGCAAGGCTTTCTTGCACTAAATGAGAAGAAAAAGATGCTATCCTTCCATATCAAGAGTAATAAAAATCTTATTAGAAAATGAGAGTGAATGACTATGCCTGTCTTTCAGAGAAAAGATGAGATGAAAAGCTCTTAACATGTGGTACATACTCTTAAGAAAGAATTAAAGAATAGCTTGGATAAGCGCTAAAAAACCACAGTTCAAACATGAAACTGGTCTCATACCTAGATTGTGGATGGACAAAGTTTGCATGACTGCAACAGATAAGCATAAGGAGGTGCTGTTGTCCACTGAGCTGAAGCTGGGTGACAACATGTCCACTTATCATGAAATTGGGCTTGTCAAAAGCTGTTCCTTGTGCTCTGAGAGAAGTATTGGCATGGCTACCCGTCGTTAGTTACCCCTTGCACGACAAGTTGAGTGTCAAATTCCAGATCATTCAACTAAAATTGTGGCAGGCATGGTAGCTAGCCCCAGGTCAACATGGCCTCTTGAGATTTACAAAAAAGATAGTTGGAGTTTATTACAAACTATTTTTAACGTGCAAGTTAAATGTTTTATATTTGTCTTTTCTGTTCTGATCCAACCATTGTCCCTGTAGTCTTTCTTGGGAGACTTCCATGTCATGCATGTCTCCAGTTTAATATTTTTCCCTGACTTATGTAGATGTTAAAAATAACACTAAAATGTTTAATTAAATCCTGCTAACCAGTTGCTTCTGCGGTTTCAAGTGGCTGTGGTACTTTTCTTCATCCTAAATGTTTATGTAGCTTTTGTTTTACAGTAATTTCACCTCAGAAGAAGATGCATTTTGGTGGAGCTAAATGGAAAGAGAATCTTCCCTCGCTCGCCCTCTTCTCAAGACTCTGGAGTAACGCACAATGTTTGAGTCTACCACTGCGAATCCTGCTGGCATTGGAAGACAAAATCTTTCTTTCTCTTCCGTGGTCTAGAGCCCAACGTGTCGGTGCCAGCGGGCCATGATTGCAGTTTCTACGTCTTCCCATCTGACCCATTTAAGCTCTATTCTGAATGCTGGAAACTCATCAGTTGTCCTGCCCTGGTACATCCCTCTCCCTGCCTGGCATTAGGCTGATCGGGAAGGCAGGGCAGATACACAACTCTCCTGCATATCTTCTCCAGGGTCTGAAAGCTCACGTTTCAGCGGAGACGTGTCCTCCCCTTCCCCACATCCCAGGAATGCTCCGTTCTGAAGGGCGGACTTGGGAAGCTCCAGGGAAGTCTGAGCCGGGACATGAATCTCTGCAGGGTTCCCAGTGCAGGTCCAGCCAAGGCACGCAGACTACAGGCACTAGTAGGAGCAAGAAAGCTTTCTTCCCCCTTAGTGCAGTTGTTTAAGTTATTTAATGATGTGACCCAGCAATGAGAACGTGAGCAAAAACCAATGATGAAATGGATGTATTTATTAGTCTGTGTTCTTCTGCATCTTGCATTGTGATCTGCATGAAAAAACTATGATGTCTCTGCAGAACCTCCTCCAAATCAACAGGGCTTAGCCACGTATATCAGATTACAGGATATTGGTCCTGAACTAGTTTTGAACCAATGATCTAATCCCATTACCAATCCTGTGAGTCATCCAGCTCCACCAGGAGCTTTTAAAGTATTCTGTATATAATAAAAACATTCAGATGAGCCAGTGCATTTGGAGTATGCTCTCATTCTCTTGGCTGGTCCATTGACAGAAGAAAGAACTCTTCGAACTTGCAGACCTCTCTCGCTCAGACTGAAGTTGTGAGGAAGCATAAATAGCTTAAACTATTGCTCCGCCACTAGACTGGGTCCTAACTTCAAATTCTCTACAGGCAAATTGGTGCTTAGAGTTAGAGTTTCACTCAACTATTCGAAATCCCTGAAACAGCAGTGGTATCTGACTGTACTTCTTTTGTAGCTTTTCGAGGTCTAGAGGAGGTCTGTAGCAAAGAAGGAGAAACAGGAAACTGAAAGGAAAAAATATCTTCACCAGGAAATAAGGAGTACCATCAATTACTGAGTCTAGTTTTGCAACCCTCGGAGTGAAGTCTCATGGATTTTGTCCAAAACAGTGACTGAGGACAGCCCATTCTGTTACTCCATGGATTGCAGTAATTACCTCCTTGAGCTCAAACTGTCATTTTCAGAGGAACAAACATCCCAGAGCATTACAGAATTACAGCATTACAAACACAGAAAAAGGCAGTTTAAAGAACTATTTCATTATCTGAGTGAATATTAACGCTATCACATCAAATAGCAGCAGAAAGGAAGAACCCACTTAAATTTCCAGATGAATCAGTTTTGGAAGCCATTAGACAATTATGTTATCACAATCACCTGTTTTTCATTTAAAATGTTGGTAATTACTGTGCTAACGCTATACTCCGTAATGACCCTACGTGGCAATTTTACTGTCTCT